TATCACACAAATAATTGAATTTAATATCTTTATTATTATTTAAAAAAAATTCAAATCGCTATCGTGATGGATTTAGATTTCTACACGACGGAATGGTCGTAGCGTTGGAGTTCACGTCGGAGTTCATCGAGACGGCGTTGTCGTAACTGGTCTAGCCAAGGAAGAGAGGGAGTATCGTCGTCTTTGCCGGATGCGGCATCGTTTTGACTGAAACGACGTCGGAGGTCGTGGAACTTGCGTTTACATGCGTGCGGGGTGAGAAGATGGAGATTGGAACTGCGTTTGCGGAGTTCGGTGGCGACGGCGTCCCAGCTCTGCGCACCGAAGCGGTGGACGGCGCAGGCGAGGAGGAGCTCCTCCCACGTGCCCCATGATGGTGTTTGTTTCTCGGGAAAATTGGGTTTATCCATCAAGAAAATCATGTAGTCACTCAGTCCATTGTCACAACTTCCCTCTGCAACAACTGATTCAACGTTCATTTAACATGTTTGATAGATTTTAATTCCCTTTGGTCTATTTTGCCTGTTGGGCCCGTGTTTTTTTTCCTTTTTTTCCCTTCGGTTTTGTTTTAATTTTAATTTTAATTTTAATTTTAATTTTGTTGTGTTAGGAACAGGCACTCATCTCGAGCATGGGGACTTTTGCATTGCTTTTGTCACGTATTTGTTTTGTTTTTGTATTTTATTTAAATTACGCTTTTACCCTCCTAAATTGAAAATATCAATTTTGAAATATGCAAGTGACTGTTGGCCGACGTGTACCATCCAAGTGACTAGATTTATTCGTACGGTTAGGATTATGAAACCCAATAAATCTGTCGTGGATGTGACTGGCTCCAAAGGTCCATAAGCCACACGCACGCACATAAACATAACACTTGGGTTTAGGTATTAGATTGGGTTTGGGCTCTGGGGCACAATGCCCTCCTATACTCCTTACAAGTACTTTCTAGTAACCCAATGTACTTATTTTTATATAAATAGAAGCGATAATTGAGGGAGGGGAGAATCTTACCTAAAATATCAGATGTAGAAATAAATAAATGCTCCCAATGTGTGAACATAATTGCCGCATAAATCATCAAGTCAAATTTATTATTTTTCAGAGATACTCTCCAAAACCTTACATCCACGGAATACAACTATTGTAAATGTTTTTAAATGTTTTTACTTTTTTTTTAATTCAATAGCCAAAATGCAATAAATTGGTGCATTTTACTCTTTTTATGCTACAGTTGAATCAACTTCTTAATTCAAAATGAGTAATGCTATTTAGACACACAAAATTGACCACCTTATGTGGCAGCTTAGGTGTCTTGCCATGTCAATTAATGAATGTTGACATGTGTATTCTATTTTTTATTTATTCTTTTTTCAATAATTAACTCTGTTCGCGAACCTCCTTTAATCTCTCCACCTTCAACTGCAGAGACCTACACGATTATATCACACAAATAATTGAATTTAATATCTTTATTATTATTTAAAAAAAATTCAAATCGCTATCGTGATGGATTTAGATTTCTACACGACGGAATGGTCGTAGCGTTGGAGTTCACGTCGGAGTTCATCGAGACGGCGTTGTCGTAACTGGTCTAGCCAAGGAAGAGAGGGAGTATCGTCGTCTTTGCCGGATGCGGCATCGTTTTGACTGAAACGACGTCGGAGGTCGTGGAACTTGCGTTTACATGCGTGCGGGGTGAGAAGATGGAGATTGGAACTGCGTTTGCGGAGTTCGGTGGCGACGGCGTCCCAGCTCTGCGCACCGAAGCGGTGGACGGCGCAGGCGAGGAGGAGCTCCTCCCACGTGCCCCATGATGGTGTTTGTTTCTCGGGAAAATTGGGTTTATCCATCAAGAAAATCATGTAGTCACTCAGTCCATTGTCACAACTTCCCTCTGCAACAACTGATTCAACGTTCATTTAACATGTTTGATAGATTTTAATTCCCTTTGGTCTATTTTGCCTGTTGGGCCCGTGTTTTTTTTCCTTTTTTTCCCTTCGGTTTTGTTTTAATTTTAATTTTAATTTTAATTTTAATTTTGTTGTGTTAGGAACAGGCACTCATCTCGAGCATGGGGACTTTTGCATTGCTTTTGTCACGTATTTGTTTTGTTTTTGTATTTTATTTAAATTACGCTTTTACCCTCCTAAATTGAAAATATCAATTTTGAAATATGCAAGTGACTGTTGGCCGACGTGTACCATCCAAGTGACTAGATTTATTCGTACGGTTAGGATTATGAAACCCAATAAATCTGTCGTGGATGTGACTGGCTCCAAAGGTCCATAAGCCACACGCACGCACATAAACATAACACTTGGGTTTAGGTATTAGATTGGGTTTGGGCTCTGGGGCACAATGCCCTCCTATACTCCTTACAAGTACTTTCTAGTAACCCAATGTACTTATTTTTATATAAATAGAAGCGATAATTGAGGGAGGGGAGAATCTTACCTAAAATATCAGATGTAGAAATAAATAAATGCTCCCAATGTGTGAACATAATTGCCGCATAAATCATCAAGTCAAATTTATTATTTTTCAGAGATACTCTCCAAAACCTTACATCCACGGAATACAACTATTGTAAATGTTTTTAAATGTTTTTACTTTTTTTTTAATTCAATAGCCAAAATGCAATAAATTGGTGCATTTTACTCTTTTTATGCTACAGTTGAATCAACTTCTTAATTCAAAATGAGTAATGCTATTTAGACACACAAAATTGACCACCTTATGTGGCAGCTTAGGTGTCTTGCCATGTCAATTAATGAATGTTGACATGTGTATTCTATTTTTTATTTATTCTTTTTTCAATAATTATCTAGCTAGCGTGTGGTTCGTGGGTACTGGGTGGCTATAATGTCAACTGAATGTGATAATATTTGAATTAATTAGATCTCCAACCTAGTTTGTTCGATGGTTTCTATCTGCTTAGCTTTTGTAATTTGCATTTCTTTGTTCTGTATGGGTGTCTCCGTTGTCTTTCTTAGGATGTATTCTATGTTTTGTTCTTGGCTAGCACACCTTTCTAAGTTCGAAGGAATTCTAAACGGTTGAAACATTCAGTTCACAGACTATATGAATAATTCAATATATGATACACCTTGAATAAATTTTCTTTTGAAGCTAAACTAAAACATTAACTGGCATTTTTGTGATACTGACTGTAATCTCCAATATGATTTTAATTTGAGACAGGGTTTGGTTCTTGGCTTGCAGGTTTTTAAGTCAATCTTTGCTCTCTGCTTATCAGAAATTGTTATGCCCAATTACCTCCCAGTGGATGATAGGTTCTTTCATAATTGATCAAGAAGCAGTATATTTACATTCTGTAATCTGAACGTTGCACAGCTTGGTCTACAATGACAAGGAAATTGAGTGATTTTACAAGTCTAAATTCTGCAACCCCAAGTTTTGTTTTATTTTTTTCTTCATACAATTGCAGATAGGTTTCTCTATCTTGATTGTAAATGCTCAGTGATGAATAAGTGGTTATACTCATATATTTTTGTAAGGAAATTCATTGAATTATTATATGTTTTGGTTCTTTGGATCACTATTGGCGTTTCTTTGAATGATAACCATCCTACTCTTAGGCAACAATGCAGGGAGGCCCAAGTAACTCTTAACAGAAACGCTGGAAGTAATTAGACAACACTGATACTGGAAGAATAACTATAGAAATTAATAATGATATTTCCAATCCATGAATGGACATAATTAACAGTACATGAAAAATATACAAATACAACACATGTATTCCATGAATATTTACTCACTTAACATAACAAAATAAGTAATAGCTATTTTATTTGCATACCTTCATTCCTTTTCTTTTATTAGTATTTTTTTCTTGAGATGTGCTCTTCTTTTCTCCTTGTTTTCTCTTTCTAACAATTTGTTCCATTTTAGATTGCTTCCTTTTAAATGGTGGTCGACCTTTGCTTCTGACTGCTAACGGGGTAAGTATCTTCTTCGAATTTGAAATTTCATTAACACAATTGTCAAAGCTCCTACCAGTTGGTGACTCGGGAGTTGGTTGAGTACTCCCACAAACGTTGTCCTGGTTAGACAATTGCTCCTTTAGTTTCTGCATCCAAGCCATCACAATCACACACTTTTCTTCAGAATCAGTTGCCAACTCCTTAATCTCATCAAAGGTCTTCTGCATCTTATCACACTGATGTGCTTCAAGTGTGGCATTTGACTCATTATAGCTAATTTTAATCTTTGTGTGACGTCTTGTCACATCTTTCCTCCATCTTCGCAAGATGTATTTATCTGGAATTAAATCCATCTTATGCTTAATCAAGACATAAATGGCATGTCTGCATAATATTTCCTTAAACTCAAACTTGGAACAATTGCTCTTAACTTCGCTGGCAAATTCATGGAATATGACTATAAAGTTTACACTCTTTTTTTTTTCCCGCAATTATCATATCTTCAGATATTTGATACTTAAAAAACACACCATCTTCCTTGGTATCAACTACCTCACAATACATTTTACCTGTTAATTCATCTTGGAACTCCTTGAATTTTGCAATAGTGTACACACCTTGAGCTTGTTTCTCCATAAAGTAGTGGGTGCTACATTGGATATCTGCAGAGGAAGACTTATAATCTGCTTGGTTCTCTTTTTCTACCTTAGTCATCAATGCATTTTCATATTGTTCCACAAATTGCTTCAGGGTAGTCTTAGAATTTACGTGGTCATCAAAAAATGCATTCATACTCTCACTTCATTGTGTGGTAGACATGCCCGCCCAAAAACTTCCTTTCACCAAGCTTGGCACCCAACGACGTCTTTCATCATATAAGCCTCGTAACCAATCATTACTCTGTAACTCATACTTCTCAATCATCTCTTTCCAACGATCTTCAAACTCAATATTGGTCAATGAATCATACACAATGTTCTCCAAGGTAAATTTAATAGATTCATAGTGTTTATAACTCTTAAGCTTTTCATGAAGCTTCTTCATTATATGTCATAAGCACCAACGATGCCTAGTGTTAGGAAAGACAATCTCAATAGCATTTTTCATGGCCCTGTCTTGATCAGTAATTATCCCACATGGAGCATGCCCAGACATGCATGCCAGCCACACTTTAAAAAGCCAAACAAATGTCTCAGTATCTTCACTTGAAATCAGTCCACATCCAAGCAAAATTGAATGCCCTTGATGATTGACACCTACAAATGGAGCAAATGGCATGTCATACTTATTCGTCAAGTAGGTCGTGTCAAATGTAATGGCATCACCAAATTCCTCATATGCTGCCCTACTCCTGGAATCTGCCCAAAACACATTCCGTAACCGACCACTTTCATCTAGATCAATTGCCAAAAAAAAAATTGCATTTTGAGCTTGCATCTTCAAGAAATACTTTTGAATTGTAGTTGCATCTCCTTCCCCAAGCTGTAATCTTCTAACTTTGTTAATGTAATTTCTACAATCCTTTTCCATGAATGACATATTCTCATGCCCTCCGGCTTCAACTACCATTGAATTATAATTCTTATTTACTCTTATTCCAGCTCTATCATTCACTTCAATCTTCCTTTTCATATACGAACTTATTGCACGATTCATTCGAAAATATCGAGCATCGTCTGGATTCAATCCATGATTATGAACAAGTTTGACCGAGTTCACTTTCCACCTTCCATCCAAGCATATACCTGCCCTAAGTAGAGCCTTGCAATTGCATTTTATGCTTGGATATGGCTTTAGGACATTGCTTGCAGTACTTTGTGGGATCCCTGATCGAGAACATGATAAAGTCACATATTTCAACTCCCCACAATCTCCTTTCTTCGATGATCTCTTCTTCATTGGAAAACCTACTTGATTTGCATATTTTTTATAATAATCAAGCACCTCATCAGCTGTGTTAAAAATCATATTTACCTTAGGTTCTTGTGTTGTTTCTTCTAGGCTCATTGTATTTTCCAGTCCAATCTCACCAATCTCAACCTCATCATTTTCTTCACTCATCTCCAAATTTGAATGGCTTCTTGAAGATTATTCCACCCTAAATAATTCCAAATATTAATATAAACTTCCTGTAATACATATGCAATAATACACATTCAGTTGACATTATAGCCACCCAGTACCCACGAACCACACGCTAGCTAGACCCAACTAATTACACTAATCAATTTTTACAACAAACAAATTGCAGATTCAAGAAACGCAAACTAAGAACCTGTACAACAATTTTTACAACAAAATTACACTAAAAATTGGGTATGTACCTCAATCTTCAACCTCTTTATCGGTTGGAGAAGAATAGACAAGTGAACCTCTCCATTAATTCTTCAACCCACCCAATCGCTTAGGATTGCAAATTTCATTCTTATTGAGAAAATTGTAACTCTCACTAACAACAGTGGAGGATGGGGATGGATAAATTTGGTGGAGGAAGGGAGGCAATGAGAGAAGCAGAGTAGAGAATACGGTATTTGAGGATACAACAACAATGGAGGACGTTCTAGCGATACTCCTACCAGAGTGCAGCAACAATGGAGGAAGGGAGTGCTATGGAGACGTGAGGAAGAAGTTTATAACAGACGTGAGGAACTAACCAGGACGCTAGGGTTTTTTCATTTGTTTTTTAATTTTTAATTTGTTTTGTTTTTTAAGAATTATTGAAAAAAGAATAAATAAAAAATAGAATACACATGTCAACATTCATTAATGGACATGGCAAGACACCTCAGCTGCCACATAAGGTGGTCAGCTAAGAGCATCTCCAAGGGAGATGTCAAATATCAAACATCAAATTTAAATTTGATGGCTGATGTGGCAATTTGACATCATACACAGCTTTACACTCCACCCGATATGTCAAATTAAATTATTATTTTATTACGTTTTAGTGTTGATTTATTTTTAATTAAAAAGAAAAGATAAGAAAAAATAATAAAATATTCATTTGACATCTTGCTTTTAGGATGTCAAAAATAACATCTCAACCTCCAGCCTTTATTCCACATCAGCTTTGACACATCGGTTGAAGTGATGTGAGATGTTATTTCTAGCTGTTAGATGTCGATGTGGCATTTTTGACACATCGGTTGGAGATGCTCTAAGGTGGTCAATTTTGTGTGTCTAAATAGCATTACCAATTCAAAATTCATCCCTAAGTATCACCATTCTTATTACTTTGTTCAGCAATTTTTACACCAACCACAAAACAAATCAATAACAAAATACCTAACATAACAAATACCAAAATAAATAAAACAAACTATATAACTTCGTAGCTCTGCCACCATCAGTGGTTGAGTGCCTCCTTCAATTACTCACTCACATCACCTTCCGACGACCTTTTCTCGCTGTTTGACCGCCAGTCAACTTTCCCGCCAGAATTCCTGCCCCCAATATTGCCTGAATTTGTAATCAACTTTGTGGCGCCGGCGATTTCCTGCCGGAGATCCTCCACAGCCTTTCTCAGCAACCCGTTCTCGCTCTGTAAAGCCTCCAGCTGACGCTTCACCGTGAAGCAAGCCTCCGCCACCTCGGCATTTCCCGGAAATGTCAATCCCTTTTCCACCTCTGCTGCCTTCGTGGTTTTAGCCTTCGAATCTGCAACGTCCACGTGTTCGATCCCGATCTTGTTCATCACCAGGAACGGGATCTTGTGAAACGCAATCCCCGCCGTCGGATTAGCCCCAGTACTCTTCATCTCCGCCGGCACCCTTACCCCCCACCGCAAGCTCACCACTCCCCGGTTCCTCACCGGCATCGACGTCCTAGCCGCCATTTCCATGCCGGAAAACACACCGGCGAGAATTCCGGCCGCTTGATTTTCGGAGGGCAAAACCGTGATTTTCTTCCCCATAAACGCGGTATCCACTGCTGGTGTCTCCGCCGAAACGACGCCGTCAGCAGGACCTACGATTTGTTGAAATACAGAGGACTGCGACTTCTTGATCGAGAAGTCTCCGAACTGAGGCTTGAAGTGGAGCATGAAGGTAGGGTTTTTCCCGCTGCCGAGCAGATTGAACTCGGCACTCATGAGCATGGAACTGGAGATCGGCGAGCCGAAGGAACCGGTCCCAGTCTTGACGACGAGGGAGACGGGGTTGGACGTGTCATTCGGGCGGTAACCGACCCGGATGGAGGGTCCGGATTCGAAGAAGGTGCCGAGGTTGAGAGTGAGCTCCTTAGACTCGCCGGCAACGATTCCAGATTGAAAGGGCAGGCCCAATATGCTGAGGGGCACCTTAGCCCTCAACAATGGCTTCTGATCCTCGCGGAATTTGACCGAAGCTTTCATTTCTGGTGTTGCAGAAAACCCTAATTGTGAATTTTGGGGGGGCACGAAATTTATATCAATTTTGTCTCTTGGAAGCTACAGTGAAATGAGTTTTGGCTGGATTTGAGCTTGGCGTGTGAGTTGGCACCTGCGTCTTCGCTCTTGGGTGTGTCCGTCAACATTTAGCCCTTGTGTTTTGATGAAATTACAAATCTCGTAGTCTGAGGATGCTGTAATATTTAGAACTATTAGGGGCATATGTGTGCCTGTTAATGGGTCAGGAGCTTGGTGTGGCCACACGTAGCAAGAAGGTTTTGAATTTTGAAAATTCGGAAGTCTAAAATTAATGAATTTTTTAATTTTAAAATTTGTGGAAATAATTCCGCTGAATGGCTAGCTAGGACCGTTACGCGCGGATTTGGGTTGCCTAATGCTCGCTGCTAGTATGTTCAAATTGAATCGTGCGTTACCCAAAAACTAAAATTTGAATCGTGAATTCATGATATTATTGCTTTAAGATTTTGTATTTCCATCTCTAAGGTGGAGTCTCCATCCGTGAATCCAGCCTCCAGATAGTCTAGTGAGAAAGAGATGGTGGAACAATGAATTAGAATCATGATAGGTAATAGTTCAATTTCCCCTAATATAACAAATAAGAATTAATTTTGAAATAGGTGAAACTACCCTAACAATTAGGCCATTTTTAAGTTCATTTAACCATTTAGCATTTTCAAACTCATATACAAACTCGTAAACAATCTACATGCTGGGACAATATTATTCTAACTCTCCTGTAATTATACTACAATTTACTTGAGCATCGTACAATTGACTTGAGCGTCGTGGTGTTTTCTTACAGGTACCTCCTCCTCCCTCACTAGTGACACTGACAAGAACGCTCCATGGCTTCTCAACATCAAAAGAAAATTAATTGTTCGAGGAGCCAAAAAATTTCGCTCCAACATCTACAGAGTTGAATATTACGATATTGGCATATATGGAGATGCAATCTTGCAAACGAGGCCAAACTAAGCAAATACTTTTCTTGCATATTGCTTTAAGTGATGAAACATGTGTAGATCCCACATTTTATGCTTACTTGGACTGTCAATAGCTCGTGCATGCCCCCGACACCATTCATTTGCTCGTCGTGGATTGGTTCGAATTATACTCCAATCTATTTGAACTAGGTTTCAATGTCTTCATCTCGTCCCAACTCATGTGCAATTTATGTTTTATGTGGGTGGACATGTCTTGGCGGTGGCATGATTTAGGACAAACTATGGGTAAATTCTTATGGAGGAAAATAAAGAAAATCTTTTGGTTCAAAATTGACAAGAACGCATACAATAAGGAAGAATCACACTAGATATCAGTTATGGCCTTAAAAGGGGAAGAAATGTATCATTAGGTTTTTTGATTGGTTGAGCAAGTTTGAAGCAAATATGGATTATGGCAAGGAAAATATTTTATTCAATGTTTTATTTTTTATTTTTTATTTTTTACTTTTTTAGAGGAATGTAATAGATTGCATTCATAATTCATGCCTAAGGGCGAATACAAATACAAATAATCATATATGGTTGATACAAATACGGAAGCACAAACACAATAACCACAAAGGGTTAATCCAAATATGGAGGAATCCACCTGTAACAACAAGCCAACAAGATGTACCTCCACTCATGGGGCCAAAGAAATTCCAACATAAAAGCAACTAATCTGAAAAAACCAGGTAAATACCTCATTGCACAAAACTACAAAAGTAACTACAACCTCTAAGATCTACTAAGATTTGTTATTTTATTGATATTATGATTTGATTGGTTTGGTAGTTACGTTTAAGAATAATTTGGAATCTTTAAGGTGGATTCCAGTTTATCAACTTTTAGGGTTAACATTTGTTTTCTCTTTATCTTATTATCGTGCTTTTGTACTGCGTCACGAGTCAATGGAACGATGACGACTCCCTTGGGCATCGGTGGTTGCAAGCTGGGGTGGGGGTGAGGGAAAAGGGTGATTGGTCTGAGTTGGGCGAGCAAGTTTTGTTGTGAGTGGAGGGGTCGTATTCCACACAAAAAAAAAACCAAAAAAAAAGGGTGGTATGGAAAGAGAGAGAGACACACATGGAGTTTCTTTTTAGGGATTTTTGTAGAAATGTCACCTTAACTTATATATCAATTTCAATTTGTCACCTTAAAGAAAAATTTAAGCAAAATGTCACCTTAAGTTTTCAAAATCCATGATTTGTTACCTGACTTTAACATCATCCAATTTTTCATCTATTTTTAAGGGTATTTTAGTCTTTCCAATATATAAACCCTCTTTTTTATATAATTTAAATATAAAGCTATGTAAACCCTCTTGCTTGGAAAGACTAAAATACCCTTCAAAATGGATGGAAAATTGGATGATGTTAAAGTCAGGTGACAAATCATGAATTTTGAAAACTTAAGGTGATATTTTGCTTAAATTTTTCTTTAAGATGACAAATTGAAACTGATGTATAAGTTCATGTGACATTTCTACAAATATCCCTTCTTTTTATTTTATTTTCAATTGTTTCTTATTTTGTAAAATTTTGTCCACATAAGCATTAACCGACTAACTTACAAGATTAGGTAATTAAGAGATTAAAATTTGTAGGTTTATACAAGTTCTTAGCCATTTTGTTTAAGGTTTAATAGCTTGGGAATGTGTATGAAATTGCATTCCCATGTTGATAATTGTATCCTTGGGAATCCAATAACCTAACTCATGGGGTATTGTTGGAAAACTAAACAACTTTTCAATCTTAATACTGCATAAACCAAACATGGGAATGAACATCTTCCATACCCCATCACGTGTGATTATGCATAGGAATTTCATTCCCAAGAAGTTCATCCACAACACAACCTAAATGGCGAAGCCCTTCATGCATGAGTTTGAAAATATTGAATATTTCCACCGCACTTCAAGATGGCCTAATAATAGGTGTAATTTGATGTAATAACTATAAAATTACACAACTTACTATTCTATTATAGTAGTAAATTTTTTTAACTTAACAATCACTTTTCAATTGTAATCTTAAATTGCCCTTTAAATTTATTTTTCAAATGATAAATTGTAATAAACTTTGATAAATGTGGAGGGAAATTGCAATGAATTTGGTTTGGTAACTAAAAATAGTTTTCTTTTTCCTATATTGTTACTATTTCCATATATAGATATACACACACAACAATATCGAATGTTCATTATGTATAGCAAAGCTCAATTATTCTATCATGTATCGTCAATGAGTTCAAAAATAGTTTTCTTTTTCCTATATTGTTACTATTGCCATATATATATACACACAATAATATCGAATGTATCATATGTATAGCAAAGTTCAATTATTCTATCATGTACAGTCAATGAGATTTGAACTCGAAACTCCTTCAACAAAGTATATGCTATCATTAGGCCAAACTTCCTAGGTGATTGAAACGATATTTGACCCAAGAAATCACCCACATAGGGAATTTTCCTTTTAAAGAAACAATAATTTTTCCTTCCTAATTTTCAATTGTCGTTTTAAGTAATTAAAAAATGTATAAAATTGTAATTAGATTTTTTTATTATTCTTTTTTCATAAACAACCACTCAATACTTTAAATTGTAATATAAGTTTGACAACGAGATCTAGCCTAGTGGAAAAGGATCTTGACTTGCAAACTATTGTTCTCCGGTTCGAACTCTCATAACACTTTGATAGTCTAGTGGTCTCACGTTCGAACTGTCATGGTACTTGAATAGTGTGCGTGTGAGAAACATCATCTCTCTTGTGGGTTAGAGAAGTTGTAATATAAGTTTTATTTTTCCTACCACCAAAAGAAATGATAAAAGTTTGACCTATAGCTTACGCAGGAAGATTCCCATATAGCTTACACAACAAGTTAAAGATGAAAGAAATCTCAACAGTCCATCGTGTTGACTAACGTGTGCATTTGTAATAAATCCGCTTCGAAATCGGAAAATCAAACAAAGCCCAACAACCGCGTAAAACAGAGGAAACAGAGACGAAGAGGGAAAATAACTCTTCAAATTCCCATGCTTTAGGGTTTTTCAACTTTTTATATTAAATTTTCAGAACAATTTTCGAACTTGCGTATTGTGAACTTGCATATTGTGCTATACGATTCCGCTAGGGTTTTACCACAGAAAGTAACCTTCTGGTACATTGAATTTTCCATGGTTCTATTTAACCGGGAGAGAAACTCAGAAAATACAAACTTTCCCTGATTTTTGCTTGGTTACGAATTTTCCCGGGAAAGTTACAGAGAAAGTTGAAGTAGTTGATTCAAAGGATGATGGAACGTGAATTGGCCGGTGGCAGTAGCCGTGGAAAGGATAAAATGGAACAACCGCAAGCCGCGGCTGACCGTAGAGCTCTCCGATCACGCTATTTTACTGTGAAGACCCTCATTCACGGTATCTACTTATCAATCTCTTACTTTTCATATTTTTGATGATTTATTTGTGTGCTCTTTTGTGCGGTTTGTGTGTTTGATATTGGGTTGCAGAGTTGTTTGTAACCTTTTCTTCTCTAAATTCTGGTTTGGAATTTGTTGCTCTCTGTTTGGTTGCTGAGAAAGACCATCGTGCTATGTGTTTTTTCCCTCGCATTGTTTTGTTTCCATAGAAAAAAAGGCAGTTTAATTTGATTGGAGTTGAGGTCGTGAAATTATAGGAAACCATATGGTTTTAAATGTTTGTATTGGAGTTCAAGTAGTGAAATTTCCCCTTTTTTTTTTTAATCTCAAGCTTCTAGATTTAAAACATAGCTTAGGGTTTAGTTTCTATTTATTTTATTTACTCTCTCTTTCATCATCTTCTCCATAGCTTGAGATAGAAGTCAGCCAACATTAGTTAGTTTAGAAAAATATTTATACACTATATTAATTGACGTGTCATGTTATAACTCGTGAGATTATTAAAATGGCTTAGATATAGTTAAATGCAGATAAATGCATAATCTTTAAATATATCGGAATCCCTAGCCTTTTTCTTATGTCACTTAAACATATATGAATTAGAGGACATTACAAAAATGGATGTGTTTGTTGTTTGGTTTCAGGGTTGTTTATTCTTCGAGCATCATATCCAATGGAGATAGCAAATGTTTTCTTTAAAAGTGTCCTTTGTTAAACTATGTGGCACTTTGATACTAAAATTTGCTACCTTAAAACTTTGTCCCTCCAACCCATCCTTCAAATATGTTAAGATGAATAAATAAACAATACTTTTGATTAAAATATGTTATATTTAAGATATGAGTTGCTACTTTTTAAATTTGCTACATGAGTTGCTACTTCCATTGGAGGGGCTTTTATCCTATTTGGCCCATCAAATCAACATTGCTACCCCATATACTAATTGAGGTTTGGATTGTTATTCTTCATGGGGTTAATCTTCATGTTATGTGCTTTCTCTTTTTCTCTCCCACAGAAGTAAGTAGTTTAGGGAGGTGGGTTAGTCTGTAAAGACGCAAATAAAGCCAGTTTAATTTTCTTGGAGTGTAAGGAAACTGTGGGAAACCTATGGTTAAATTTTTGTATTCTTTCCTTCTAATTATCTCTTTTTCTCGTGTCACTGAAACGATTACGAAGATGAAAGAGATGACATTACGAAAGTGGATTCCGACAAGTTTAATTCGATCATTAGTGAAGTAGATAGCTTGCATGAGCTGGGTAATTTCCCTTTTCTTATCATAGATTTCTCTTAAACTAAGAAATTTACATTTGGGATGAAGGCTTAATTGATTGGTTTGCAATGACTTTCAGTAAAAAATCCAAGAGAGCAAGTTGCTGATGCAGAGGCGCTTTTGGACATTGCAAACACCTTGATGACCTCTGTGAAGGCGCAGAACAAGGAAGGAATCACAGCTACAGATTTTGTCTCCTGTATTCTTAGAGACTTTGGGCAACAAAGTGGGCTGAGAAGTAACAGAGAAGGGGTTAGCTGCTCGATATCTTGGAAGGATATTGGGACTGAAGTCTCAAATGTTTTCCAGAGAAGCCCCCAATGCTGCACTATGTAATGATAGCTCTGAAGATCAATTTTTTGATATGTTCCTTCGGTTTCGAATTCTTTAAATAATTATATGGTTTGCTCTTCCTTCAGGATTGGGCCTATGAATGCTGAAGTAAAGCAACGGAAGGCTTATGTTCATACGAAACGTGTGAAGCCTACAGAAAATGATACACCTGAAGAGGTAAGGGTGGTTTTTGGCTTAGGGTATCTTCTGTTTTCTCATGAAACACTGAGCAGTTACCTAAAACTCACTTTAACTTTATGCAGCTTGATAATGTTGCTGTAGAAGAGGAACCTGAGACGGTTAAGAATGTGGCAGCAATGTTTAATATCTTGAGGAAAAACAGAAGAGTCAGGCTTGAAAATCTAGTCCTGAATGGGAATTCTTTTGCACAGACGGTGGAAAATTTATTTGCCCTCTCATTTCTTGTTAAAGATGGGCGGGCTGAAATAAAAATGAATGAAGAAGGCCATCATCTAGTTTGTAAGATCCCTTGCAATTGCTCACTTTCTTATTTGACTGAGGACCTCTTCTCTTTTATTCTCTGTTTGGTGTTTCAGCTCCAAGGAATGCTCCTGCTGCCAAAGCAATTGCCTCAGGGGAGGTTGCTTACTGCCATTTCGTCTTCAGATTTGATTTCAAGGACTGGAAGGTACTTAAGATTTTATTGATTGAATGTTTATTGTAGCTTATCCAATGAATGATTTTCCAAATGGTGCATTTGTGGAATTTGCAGTTGATGAAAGAGTCCGTTGGGGATGGAGAGCAGCTGATGCCACACCGGCGTCAAGAAAACATATCAAGCAATTCTCAATTCGATCCGCAATGTGAAGAATCTGAAGCAACCGCAGCTACAACACCAATTAGGAAGTTATCCAGAAACAGAGGCTTGGTTTTACAGCAGCAGCCAGTTGGGGGATGCGGCACGGCTGATAGTAATCAATCAGTTGTAGAAGATTCGCCGGTATGTGATTACTCTGAAGATAGAGCTGCTGCCATCCGAAAAGGGAAGCGTAAACTGATGTGAAGTATTTACTAAGGGAGGGATGAAGTATACAAATTTTGGGGACATTTAGGACTTCTGCTTTATAAGTACACCAACTAGCAGTCATTTAGCTCTCTGTATGTCAGATGCATTGCTTGGGTTTCACACATAGGACTATGCCTTCACCTTCCACCTCTTGGCCCTTTTGGCTATTTGATACTGGAAGTGGAAGGTTCTTGTATCGTATACTTTCTTTTGAGAGAACCTTTTAGTTTTATACACATATTTTAATTTTTTAGTGAAAATTACATCATTATTTTAGATAATCAAAAGCGATTATAATTCCTAGATTTCCGATTATTTTCAATATGAATCCCAATCAAAAGAATCAAAAGAATCAATGACTTCTTCGTCGGAATGCTAACAAAAATATTATTTTATTATACCCATTATAGACGTCATTGATAGATGGCCCTGTTAGAAAATGAATTCTAGCAGCTATATATATGTTGGTCCTAACCTCATTTGAATAATTTTACAATTTCATAAATAAAATGTTAATAAAATCCCATAAGTCTTGGTGGAAATTTCATTGCACCCTTAATTTTGGTCTTGAATAACAATTACACCAATTACAACGTTATTTTGGACACAGCATACATGATAATGTCAACAACAAAAATGGATTCCAACTAAAACGACCTACCCTCAATTCTTCAATAGAAAGCATGAATAAGATCCATGTTGTTTTTTGACTGCTATAGCATTAGCACAGCGCTACTTTGCTGCTTTTGGAATATCAAGGTTTTCAAAAACTGGGCTGTCAACTCCCACTCCCATTGCATTTAGACCATTGTCAACGTATAGAACGGTACCAGTGATGGCTGATGCCAATGGTGATGACAGGAAGGCAGCAGCGTTCCCCACTTCCTCTGTTTCCATGAATGGTTAAAGTTTACATAAGTTTGCAAGGTAATAATCTTGTCAAATGAAGAATGGAAAATTTGGAAATTCATGCTTGCATTTGGTTGTGTACTTAATTACTCACCAGCAGATAATTCTTTCTGCAAGGGTGCATTTTCCGATGAGTAATCAATCATCATATCTATGAACCCAATTGCTTTCGCCGCACGACTTCTTAATGGTCCTGCATAGGGGAGAGACAAAAAAAAACACATGAACAAGAAAATGTGAGAACATGGAACCACGCAGCATTTAGGGTTTAACAGAAATGTGAGGTCTAGATAAGTTTGAAGCCCCGATAAGCTATTTGGTGAAACATCTGCCATCTGAAGACCATTATTGCGTATCAGCATCTTATATCGAATGTTGAGGGTTGACTTTAACCAAGATCTATGTACACTCATATGATAGGAAGAGGTGCACCACATCTCTTCTAAGAGATGTTAATCAGAATCATCAAATAAGACATTTAATTTGATGTGTAGAAGGGCATCAACTCCTAAATTACTAAATAATTGTTTATCATCAAAAGAAATAACATCAATATTTTGTTATCAGAATGTAAACAATTTTTCGACCACAAGGTGGTCATTTTATGTGTGCATTAAGAGTGGAAGACAGATTCTGTCAACAGAAAATAACTGTAGTACCTGCAGATATTGTGTTGACTCTAATGTTGTGTTTTCTTCCAGCTTCGAAGGCCAGCACCTGAATCAAGGGTAGAAATGTGATATATGTGTATATATATGTTTCATCACAAAAAAGAATAAAAAGAAAAAAGGAGAAATCTAGATATGGTCAATCTAAGAATTATTATAAAAAGCAAAACAATTAAAGACTCACGCGTGTGTCACTCTCTAGAGCAGCCTTCGCTGAACTCATGCCTCCACCATATCTGCAAGTAGGATAGTCTTAAATAAAAATTTATTCATAGAATAACTGTTGACGAGTAGTTTTTTATGCAAGAAAGCACATACCCTGGAATGATCCTTTCTGAAGCAATGTATGTTAGAGAGATTGAAGCACCACCTGTCATGTTAAAATTTACCCTTAGATTCTATGCTGTCTACAAAAAAGCCACTGCAACATATGGGATTCTTGAAAAATGATGAGGGGAGGAGGGGTAGGAGGAGAAATAAAGCATTAAAGTTAGAACTGTGCCTGGGTTAATTATTGGAGCAAAGTGCTTGAGTAAAGAAACATATGAGTAACTCGATGCAGAGATTGCTGCAAGATACCCATATCTTGATGTCTCCAAAAGAGGTTTAGTAACCTGTGCATGATACATTTACTGCCTAAGTACCGTGAAGATCTTAAATAACGTTGCTAAACAAAAAACGTGAAGACGTATTCACCTCTGGTCCATTAGCAAGTGAGTGGACAAGGATATCAATGCTGCCAAAATCCTGTTTTACAGATTCAACAACCTCCTGCAAAACATTTCTACAGAATCAGCCAACATTCCCAAGCTGGGCCAGTTTATTAACCCAACATCTGGAAACATAACCTATAACAGAAAGGTATATAAGCTCGACCAAATTCAAGCATGCAATGCACCGTGAACATCAATGACCAGAGACACCTGGAAACATATGTTTCCACATAAGCTTGAGGCATTTCAAGCATGTAATTCACCATGAATTCCAGTGACCAGAAACATCTGGAATTATAAATTTTAACCATTATACCCATAACACATTCTATTTTTCATCTTAAAGATCACACACAATGAGAGTCAAATTTCATGTCTATGTGACTAGGGGTGGAGGTTTCTGTCTATGTGTCGGGTCTGAGCTATGGGAAATAATTTCATTATACTGGATAGGCCAATTTTATGTCAAAACTTCATTTTCTTTGGGAGGGGGAGGGGGGAAAAGATCACACACAATGAGCGTCAAATTTCATGTCTATGTGACTAGCGGTGGAGGTTTCTGTCTATGTGTCAGGTCTGAGCTATGGAAAATAATTTCATTATACTAGATTGGCCAATTTTATGTCAAAACTTCATTTTCCTGACTAGTGTGCCCTTCCTTTTTCCTCTGTGTGTAACTTAAAGGCTAAAAATTTAGTCAATATCTGAGAGTCAACAAAATCTTAAGAACTTCAATTGAACAGTAATTTAGTCCACACAAAAATGATACCTTCACAGTCCAATTAGAGGACCCCAAGTAGCGCTTGTTGGATTTTACCTGCACAAAACCACAATATGAGCTCCGCTACATATATAATTTGACTTTATTGTATATTCCAAAAACTTAAAATCAGGAGATTCATACATCCTCAGGGACATCCTCAGGATCGTCATAAACTGCGTCCAATGGGTAAACCTTGGTAATTTCCATTAAAGAGCCATCTGGCAATCTGAAAGGAAAAAAAGAAATCAAAAGAAAAACCTAAATCAGCAATAAAATTCAATAGCATTAACAGAGAATTTGAGACAGAAAAAAACATCAACAGATTTGCATGAAATGCAGGAAATGAAAATCTGCTCTTACTTGCGCGACTCATCAAACTTCCCACGCCTTAAACTGGATTCGAAAATGTTAAGTGCCTATAACGAATAAGACTTCATTAAAAGACTATACAATTTTTCAGAAGTTAAGGTTCCACAAATTCAGTTAGATCAATTTACATACCGGCACCCATGTACCAACTAGAATTTCAGCCCCAGCAGCAGCAAGAGATTTTGCTATTGCCCATCCATATCCATGATCATCAGCCACTCCAGCAATGAATGCTCTCTTTCCTGCAAATAGCTGTCCCAGTGTTAGATAGATGTGTGGACAATATGAACTAAGGGAAGCAGCCTTGGAAAGCCAATATATCAATAGTTACTTCCTTTTTCCAAACCTTTGTCACTCTACCTTTGGGATCAAATAATTTAAACATCAAAAGCAAACCCATGATCTTGCTTTGCCTTTCAAGAGTGTCTTTCTAGATGAAATCACATTTCTTTTCCTATTCTCTTGCTTTAGAACTATAACTCTCTTGATTTTCTGGAATTAAAAATCGTAAACTAGTGGCATTCATTATTGACACCAACAATAAACTGACATCAATTATCAATGATGATGATGACAAGGACCTTCTTGGCAAACTTCATGACAAATCTCTGACTCTTGTTGGCAGTAATCTAATCCCTGTCATCCTTTTTATCTGTCACTCAGTAACTTATGCAGGCACCATGAGTTCACAAGGATGCTGGTATGCTAGACAGTATGTCTAACTGTGAACCCTAATAACTTGGTGCTTAAGCTAAGGGGGAAAGACATAGAATTGATAGGGAACCGTAGCCAAGTGGCTAAGGCATGAGTCTGCAAAACTTCTATTCGTCGCACTATTGTTGGTCTATTCTAATTGTGTCTTTCAGCATGTAAGCTCACGACAACTATGAAAAACACTCATACACAAGTTACAAATTTGAGTACTTAAGAAATATACAAGAGGAAAGATGTTTGACCTCTCAAATCAATAGGCAATCCTGGCAATGGACTGTTCTCAGCTGCTCCTGACATTGCTCTGGTGACAGCCTTTACAGATTTCGTAGGCCCTGATTTGAAGCTCTGGAAGAATGGCTGCGTTGCTGAGATGTGAGAAGAACTTTTAAGCCTTCTCCAAACTCCCACTTCACTGTTTGTACCAAAATTTGCTGTGCCTGACATATAAGTTCTTCGAGAGGAGGATATGCAAGGCTTAACTGCTGCCATGTGGGATCCAGGAGTTGTAGTCGTGGCCATTTTAGATGCAAATCACCAGAAACCGAAACAAACTCTGCAAGACGGAGAAGCATATACATCAGTAACAGAGGTAGCAACACTAACACTCTGCTAGTAAGCTCAAACTTGTGACATGTTATCAGCAATTATTAGAGATATCTCTAATTATAATTCTTAACAACCAACACAAGCAGTAAATCAAACTAATACAACCAAAAACTAGCAATTAATCTGTCTCAACCTGAAACATGTAAGATTAAACAACTTCATCAGAGTGGTAGTATTCAACAAATGAAATGCAAAAAATCTGGTGCCAAAAAAAAAACAACTATTGAGTACACATTTCTGGATTAGATGGTAACCAAGATTATAATAACAAGATTAGTTTCTTTCCATTTCCTAAAGGTCTCTAAACAATCGCAGCCAATTTTACCCAAGATCACTTCAACTATTAGGCCACTGCAAGGCTTTCATTTTTCATTTCCAACGTGGGATCATAATACACTCAACAAATGTCTCTACGAAACCTTAACGAATCAGAAAAATTTGGAAACAAACACAACACGAGACATTGAATCAAACCAGTGAAAACATTCCTACAACGTTAGCGACATGATCAAAAGCTGTGTTTTTTAACTGATCAGAAACCAGTGAGATGCATGCACACATTCATAGAGAGATCCGAAGACTCACCTTTGACCTCTGCGGCAGTGTTTTGGGAGAGAAGAGCAAGGTTTTGGTGGTGTGTTTATATGAAATGTGAGTGTCTGTTTTTGTGTGTGGGTTTCGATGAAATCGAAGTCTTGGTTTGTTGGAGAGTTGGTGTTGGGCAGCTTCGTAAATGCCGAAGGAGGGGGAGGACACAGCGTTGAGCTGTGTTGTTTTTGGCGCCCTTGTGAAATGACAGTTTTGTCCTTGTTCTTAAATGGAGACTTTGGACTTTCATTTCAGTGCCCCATTTGTGTATATGGATGCTATGGGCTTAAGATTCTGGAAGTGAAAAACCAAAAACAAAACTCAATTGTGCTCAGGCCCAAACTGAAAATCCGACGAATCGAACCAGTCTAAATCGTGTATAATCTTTAGTTTTGGTTTCGGTTATGGAGAAAAATCGGGCTAATATTGGAAGGTTAATTCGAACACATGACTTTTGAGTGTAAAGGTAATAACATTTACTGGTTTAATTATTCGATCAATGGTATAGGGAAAGTTCTATATACACCCAGCTACCTGCTCAGTGTATCTGATCCTCACCTAAAAAATTGCAAAATTTAAAACTCTACTCCTCATTGTATTGAAAATGTATTTTTTTACAAGGTTAACGGGGTTTAGTCCAATGAAAAAAGGCATTGACTTGCAGATCAGAGATTCTTGAATGATAATTTAATAAAGAAAAAGATCATTAAATAAGGTTCTTGAATGATAATTTGTTTAATAAAGCCTTACATGAAATATATTATTATTATTATTTTCAAGATACATAAGCAGTTCCAATAACAGTTTTTGAAAAGAAAAAAACAACCAGCAAAAAGCATTTGTTCCATTAACCAAAATTGAATGTAAATATGGTATTAGCAAAGTTGGGTTAGAAACGGATGTGCTTCCCATTATACACCCGAGTTTGAATCTCCCTTCTCGTACTTTAGATTAGATTAAAATAGAATACCGTTTGTATTTAAACAAAACAAAACAAAACAAAAAAACAAAATTGAATGAATTTTATTTTTCCATAAAAAGATAATGAATTCAATGAATTTTCTTTTGCCAAAATAAAATTATGTTAGACATACCTTAACTATGGCATGCAAAGCAAAGGACCCACTAGTGTAGTGGTTTGGAGTATTTACTCCCTTAGGCAAAGTCCTAGATTCGAGTCCGAGCATCAGTGTAGTGTGTGTGAGTTTAGTATGCTATCACCCCTCTCAATAGGAAAGGTCCTAAAAAAGAAAAGGCTTATTTAGCTACATGCCCCCTGTGCTTTGCAACTTGTCTCAGATTACCACCCGGGTTTTAAAACGTCTCAAAGTGCCCCCCAACCTTTAAAAAATGGTCTCATGTTACCCGTTCCGTCAGTATTTTTGACGTTCTGTTATAAACTTTGGGCCCCACTTCGTTTTAACTCCAGAATCAACCCCCATCTCTCTCTTCCTCTGTTTCTCTTTCTCCATCTCTCTCCTCATATCATCTTTTGGTTTTGGGCTCTTCTTCTTTGGCTGCATCTCTTCCTCTGATTTTTCTGGGATATTTTTTTTTCCTTCTCCTTGGTTTTGGGCTCTTCTTCTTTGGCTGCATATTCTTGAAATATCAATGGGGAAGCCATCTGAGAAGAAGAAAGAGGAGGAGGTACAAATGCTTGGGAATGCTGGCAGTAAGTTGAGCAAGCCCTTTTTTTTCTTCAGTCCAATTCACTGGGGTTGCGATGACAGTGTGCCACCTCCACTTGAAGTCGTCATCGATAGCCAGATCCAGTCGACGCCAGGAGGAAGAGAGAAATACAAGGGAGGTGGAGAGAGGAGGTGAGGAAAGAGGAAGAGAGAGAGGGGGGTTGATTCTGGA